TTGTCTGCGATACTTACTAGTATAAACATTATTTTTTCCACACAGGCTGGATTTCCACCTGGTGTTGTCAATATTTTAGCAGGTTATGGTCCCACGGCGGGCGCTGCAATCTCTGAACATATGGATATTGATAAAGTGTCCTTCACTGGATCCACTGAGGTGATTTCATATTTATATTATCAATATTTGTTAGCTTTATGTGTATATAGCCGGGTCAAGTTGCTATTGGTACTGTCTATTGATCTTATCTTGAAACTGCAGCCAGGTACATATTCTTAGTGAAGGACTTTTGCAAATTTTGCGATGTATGTTTTGACAAAACATGAATATAGTTCGTGATAACATTATGTATATATGATACATAAACACTAACTCAATCTATACTGGATCAGACTATTAAATCAAAATGAACACTCAACTGTATTGTTGCTTTCTTAGTTACAATTCCAATCAAGTCGTACAAAAGAAACAAATGTCAGTGTTGTTTCATACAAGTTTGACTGGATGCATAAACTTATGTCATCTTTCATGAAATAAATTCACAATTATTTCTTGAGACCTGTAATTGGAAAATCCAAGCAACAATACCCAACTATAAGCCAAACAATCAATGTCAAAAGGCAAAAATGATGTCTATTTTGTCATCAACAGCCAAATTATTGATATCATAATAGGTTGGAAGAATCATCCAGACAGCAGCTGCCAAATCTAATTTGAAGCGAGTAACTTTGGAACTGGGAGGAAAAAGTCCAAACATAGTCCTCTCAGATGTTGACAGTGAGTTTGTGTTTACATTTGTCCTAGATGGGTTAAGAAATTAACAGACATGGTACACCCCTAGAAATGTTCTTGAATTAATATCTATGGAAGATATCTATATAACCTACAAGTCGGAAATTATGCCAAGCGAGTCAGCTCATTCATGATAAAACATCTTCAGAATATTGTTTAATGAAAAGGCAATGGTTTTTTGTCAACGAACTGAAAATATTTTTAATTTTGATAGTGTTTCTAGTCATCAGTTTCAACAAAAGAATCGTGCGTGAACTAATATCTAGACTGACACAGTTCATACGCTTCGACATTCTATGGATACATCCGTTCTATTAAATCAATAAACTGCTCGGCTGTGCTCGCTCGCCAGGAATTATTATGATTAATATGATACATTCTTATAATTAATTTATTGTGAACAGTATGACTAAATTACAAATTGTAATCCTTCTGATCGGCATTTTTTGTAATCTTGTGTAGTGGACTTTGCAGTGGAAGAATCTCACAAAGCATTGTTTGGTAACATGGGCCAAGTGTGTTGTGCTGGATCACGTACATTTGTACAGGAAGATATTTATCCAGAATTTGTCAAGAAAAGTGTAGAACGTGCCAAAAAACGTGTCATTGGTAATCCATTTGATACTACTACAGAGTCTGGACCACAGGTATTACATTGATAGGGTTGAAATGTCATTCAATTCAGAGTCTGGGCCACAGGTATTGCTTTGAGAGGATTGAAATGTCATTCAATTCAGAGTCTGGGCCACAGGTATTACATTGAGAGGGTTGAAATGTCATTCAATTCAGAGTCTGGGCCACAGGTATTACATTGAGAGGGTTGACATGTCATTCAATTCAGAGTCTGGGCCACAGGTATTGCATTGAGAGGGTTGAAATGTCATTCAATTCAGAGTTTGGGCCACAGGTATTGCATTGAGAGGGTTGAAATGTCATTCAATTCTTCCATAAGCAACACACACTATGGGGAGGGTTTGGGGTTCTGTCATAATCTTGTCAGTTTTGCCATTTCTGTTCTGCTATGAAAGCAAATAGCCCATTGAAAGGGCAAGCTCACAAAGTATATCAGAGCCAATGAACATGTCTAACAAGTAACAAATTTGGTAATTTTAAAATTAAAAATGTTTAAATGTTGTGTGAAATAAGTTATAAAAATGAGGGGTACAAAACTTTCCATGAAAACTATCGGTTTGTATCATTAAACCCTACTTTGGCATCTATCTTCAATTGGAAAATGAACTTTATTTAAAAATGAGTTTGGGTACCCCTAATGGTCCTTAACAATTGCATATACTATTTATTTTTCCCATCATATTTTCACAATTTTTTTATTCCAGTCCATTTGGAATAAAATATTGAACAAAGTTGAGTGAGCCATTTTATTGTACAAACTTCACCAATTTGAAAAGATAGTGACAACACTTTCAGACATGTAAATCTGGCACATCATTCAAATGACTGGAGACAATATTAACTTCCTGAAAACGTTAAACGTACCAAAATATTATTATAAATTAATATCATATTGAAAAATTATTGAGAATTAAATTTGTATGTATTGTTGATTTCAGATTGATAATGAGCAGTTTGACAAGATATTTGAACTAATAGAAAGTGGGAAAAAAGAAGGTGCAAAACTTGAATGCGGAGGAGGTCGTCATGGTGATAAAGGATACTTTGTTGAGAGCACTGTATTCTCAGATGTGAACGATGATATGAGGATTGCCAAAGAAGAGGTTTGTTTAAGTTGCTCAGATTCTGATTTGATTTTAAACTTTGAAATTTTATTAAACTTCATGCTTGATCACAAAGAATTTGCAAACAGATTATTTAAATTTTAAAATAGTAAGTACATTCAAATAAGAAAGTATCCGGTAGTATCAGAATTGATTGTCTTGCACTTATGATCATAATAAAGTAAACTTTCTTGAACTAGCTTGCAATAAATGCATTTTTTGGTTTAATACCTTTTTTTAAAGATATTTGGTCCAGTTCAGCAAATTATGAAATTTAAGACCATTGAAGAAGTGATTGAACGAGCTAACAATACATCATATGGACTTGCTGCTGGTGTATTTACTAAGGATATTGATAAAGCATTGACCATTTCCAATGCACTGCAAGCCGGGTCTGTGTGGTAAGCACAACTGTTGTTGTTAGTCCCCGTTCGGACGAAGTTCGAAAACGGGGACTTTTAATTCGGTTTCCGTCCGTCCGTGTGTCCGTGCGTCCATCCGGAGTCATATCACAGAATCCCTTGGACCTATTCCGTTCATTCTTTGCATGTGCCTAGGCATCTTGTTTTTGTTTTTTTATGCGGTATCTTGGACGTGCTCTGTCAGTTTTCATTCAAATTTGGCACCTACATGTACTTTATACATGTTAGGATGCATGTCCATGACAATTTGTTTCAAAATCTGGTCAAGGATGGCCGATTAACAGCCATCTGACTTTTTGGCCTCACTACTATATTTCCACAATTTATGTACCATTTTCATTCGTATTTGGCACATACATCATACATATCAGTGTGTTTCATAATCAGATCAAAGATGGCTGAATAACGGCTGTTTTTATTTTGGCCATATCACTATGACCCGAAACACGTGTTTTGATGTAAATAAACAATCTGTTGTATACGCCACTTGGAACTCAAGTTTATGTACACATATGAAGTTACAATATTAATTAGTTCAAATTTGCATGTCTGAGAAATGATTACGGTACTAATCATATTTGGTTATCACAAGGATACCATAAAATGTGCACTCAGACAGTACGTCGGTCAATACTCCCACTGTACTGTTTTCGTGCATATGTAATTCATAATAACCTTATTGTTATACATATTTTCCTCCCAAGGATACATGGGGGCAGCTTTGTTTTTATTATTAGAGAACACTTTCGAGCGTAATCATTCCATATTTGGAATTCGCGTTTCCGAATATGGTAGAATGAAAATATACAGTGCAATACAGAAAATTATCCCACACTGTAACTTATGAGGTTACAGTGACATATCCATAATAATGAACATTTTTATGACTTTTTTTCAAAGGATCAACTGCTGGGGTGCTATTAAAGCCAATACTCCATTTGGTGGATACAAGATGTCTGGAAATGGAAGAGAATTGTGAGTCATAAAAACTTAATGTATTCGTCTGTCTGTGTGCAGAGCTTTCGGTGTCAGTCTGTTGATTTATTTATTTCATTTATTTTTCAGTTGTGATTATGGTTTGGAAGAATTTACTGAAATAAAAACTGTAAGTGGAATGAAATGATATGCATTCAATAATCATTATTAATATATAATACCCATAATACCTTTTATTCATATTTTCAATTTGTATTATGTATTTTTCTTTGTATTTGTGTTTATAGGTGACGGTAAAGTTGCCATACAAGAATTCCTAGTTGCATTACTGATAAAAAGATGAAGCTATGCCCTCGGTGGTGGATATAATAGATTTAAAAGATGTTCATTGTGTTATTTGAAAGAAATCCGTTTTTTACTAGGCTACTCTATTCATTGGCTTGAAATGAGTAAAACAATAATCATGTTATATCGACTTCTAGCTGTGGATTGTCATGCTT